CCGCCCTAATGACCCCCCATGGCAATCCCCTATAAGCCCCCTTTAAGGAGTTTAGATTCTGGCTCATATAACATGCATGTTACGGAGCTTGGAGGGTAAATATGGGCTTTAGGGCTTGCAGGAGAGGACTGCTGACAGGCGGTTCGACCCTGAACTCGTTTTTCGCTTCCGAGAGTGAGAGAGGGCTTGTAGGGTTTATAGGGTTTACAAGGCTTGTAGGGTTTATAGGGTTATGAGGTGTATTGGGTTTAGGGTTAAAGGAATGGCTTAGGCCTCTAGCACTTCCAACACATAAATCCCTGGATGCGGAACTTTTCCAGACGCGTGCACAATCCTCGGTTTCTCAGCTGATTGCACAGGGTTTTGGGTGGAGGGGTTGCGGGGTGGGGTCAGGATCTACTGCAGGGGCCTAACAAACTAGAATAGGACTTTGTGGTATGCTATAGTTTTGTAAGAACAGAAGGGGAAAATGTTGCAAGCTGTTCATGCTTCTACATTATGGGATTTGGCTCCTTCGCATCCAGATAGTAATCTATGATTCTATAAGTTGCCCTGCATGTTCTACTTTAGTGCTTCTTGTTGGGAGGCGCATTTGTGTTGACTGTCTGTCGCGGAAAGACCTTGACAAACCCTAAACCCTAAACCCTAACAACAAATGTCCCTTCAACCCCTAAGCCCTCATCCCTAAACGATAAACCCTAAACCAAATTCTCAAGCCCTTCGGTACTGATATTGTTTGGACGGTGAATCTCTCATGACTGGGTTTAGGACTTAGGGTTTAGGGTATGGGTTTAGGGTACTAGAGTATAGGATGACAGGGTTTAGGTATTGGGGCTTAAAGCTTAGGGTTCAGGGCTTAGGGTAGAGGGTTTAGGGTATAGGGTACTAGAGTATAGGGGAAAGGATTTAGGTGTTAGGGTGTAGGGCTTAAGGTTTAAAGCTTAGGATTTAGGGTATGCATGTTTACTGCGTGGGGTTTGGGTCTAGGGTCTAAGTTTCAAAAAGTCATGGTAGTTTCCCAGAATAATGGAACCCAATATAAACCCAAAATACTATGATCATTATTATTGGGCCCCCCCAAAATGTTACACTAATTTTGGGAAACCCCAAATCCTGAACCCTAAACCCTGTATAACCCTATATCACCCCCGTATAAGCCCCTGTGAAGGGTACGGCTAATTTGCATAGAGAAACTTGGGCTCGAGAATGAACGTCTGAGGTTTGGGATTCAGGAACTGTTGTTTAGAGCTCAGGCTTAACAGCTGGGCTGTAGGACTGGATTTAAGGTTGAGAAACCCGCGTTTGGGGCGGGGGCTACAGGTTCAGGAATTATAGAGTTTCAAAAGGACTTCGCAAGACCATCAGTACATGTCCTGCAGGGTACATGCAGGAGTTGAATTTCGGCTAGGCTAGGTACAATGCGTCTTCGGCTGCTTGTGCTCCACCTCGAGTTCTGCATGGCTGGGCATCTATCCTGCTGCCCATCACACTCAGCTGCCAAGTCTTCAAGCTTGCCACGTGCGCAATGATTTCAGGTCATGGCTGGTTTAGGGTTTAGGGTTTAGGGTTTGGGCTGGTTTAGCGTTTAGGGGTGGCTGGTGGGCTTTCATCAAGACACGAAGTAAGAGAAAAGGAGCTGAAACCAGACCTCCGAAGGGATCTACTGATCAGTTTCCGAGGATGCGATGGCAAACTATTTTATAATTGTTGCCATTACTTCTATTACTACTATTAGTATTATTAGTATTAATAATATGACCATTAATACTTATCACTATTATTATGGTTATCATTATTACTATTATGATTATAAGCTGTTACAGGAGACATTCTCAGTTTACATGGTGGATTTTTTATCATCGCAGCGTTTGGGGAAGGGGCTGCCCTTTGCATCTGCATGATGAAGCAGGCCTCTCGTCATCAAGGTTTAGGTTTCAAGGAGTTAACTGAGGATTTCGCTCCGCGGCTATGCCATACACAACTGTCTACATGGACACCTCCATGCATTTCACAGTAGAAATTGAACAGTCCCCCGGTGACCCACATGGTAGTTTCCTTCAATAGGGAA